AAATCTTCCCGATAAAAATACTTTTCGACGACTAAAAAAAGTGCACACAGAAGAGCAATGAAATAACGCATAGGCAAGGCATTCCCTGCTGTAAAACTTTAAATATTATGTCATGTTGAAAAACATACACAGAGAAGCAGTTATTGACAAAACAAGTGCCGATTAATTTTAACCCAACACAAGTCCACAATCTCGTCTTTCTTGAGGTCACTGCTGTTCCATACGCGATGTTGGCACCCCAGAGCACACACCGTGCAAGGCACGCCGCCGTCACAGTACTTGGGTCTCCGGAGCAACAGAAACTGCAGACAGGGTTCGCCGCGACAAACTTTTGAATCGAGTCCGTGTGCATCCAGGCGTGGATACACCTGGAGTACACCCTGAGCCTGAGGCTCCGCAGCGCCGGGGCCGTGACGGGCGAGATGCCCTGCAGCAGCTCATCCGGCACCGCGTCCACGTCCACCTCGAGGTGCTGCAGGGCGGGCAGCGAGGGAAGCGCGCCCAGCAGCGACTCGAGCTGGGGGAAGTCCTGCACCCTGTCATTGTCTATGATGAGCGACTCCACTCGGGAACGGCCGGACGAGCCGAGGGCCGCCACCAGGTCAACACCTGCGTCAGCGGGGCTGTCGGCGCCCGGCCTGTACTGCAGGGTGACCTTGCGCAGCTGCTCGGCGCCCCGCAGGAAGGCCGCGGACCCGGGGTAGTCGGGGTGCATCGTGGTCATCACGTACAGTGTCACCTCGCGCAGGGACCTGCAGGCCGCCACGGCCTCAAGCCCGGGCAGCGCGGGGCAGCTCAGCACGCGCAGGTTGGGCATGCCGGCGAGCAGATCCAACCTGTAGGTGGAGAGCTCGTCACTCTCGTACGTCGCCCCGAGGTAGCTCGAGAGGTTGACCTCCTCCAGGCAGGCGGGGAACAAGGACATCAAGAACCTGAAGATCCCGTCACTTATTCCGTTGACTCTACAGTCGAAATGCCTCAATAGTGGCAAGCTGTTGCCGGCCCGGTGCGCATCGAGGAACCCGAACCAATCCGCATTGGTTGAATATGGGTCCGACCATGAACCTAGGTTTCCCGTAAGTGCAAGTGTCTCCAGGTCAGGCACAAACATTGAAGACCCTATGATTTGAGCGGCACCAAATCTACTCTGAAAATCACAAGCGAAGTGCAAGCTAAGGTGCCGCAGCCGGCCGAGTTTCCCCTGTCTTTGAATCGCCGCAGTTGCATGTCTACGTCTATCATCCCACAAATCCACACACAACTTGGCCACGCCACAGCTCGTGCTCATTAAATTCCGGACAACACACCACCGCACGCGGACGCCGATCTTCAGCTTGTCCAGGCACGGCGCCAGGCGCAGGGCGGCGCACTTCCAGCTGCAATCATCCTTGCCGTCAGCGGCGGGGCCTCG